GGGTTTCTACAACCCCTTTTTTACTTCCCCTCACTGTATCTTTCTTGGGTTAACAATTTTTTTCCTTTGGGGAAAACGGAATTTGACGTTTTTTCTATATTTTGTTAGTGCCCTTTTATAAATGAAATATATTTGGGTTTATAATACCCGTAATTTTAAAAATTTTTTTATTGGGGACAGGAAAATAAAAACATTTTTAGACCCAAAAAAACATTTTACAATTTCCCGATATTTTGGTTACCCAAATTTTCCGTAAAAAGTTTTTCATAGTGTATTTATTTTTGAATATTTTTAGGGGAAAAACTTTTAAATTTTAATTTACGCAACAGTTTTAAATAAAAAAAAAAAATTTAGCAAAAACAACAAAATACAAAAAAAAAACCAAAAAGAAAAAAAAGAATACTACTTTTATACTACTACTTTCTAAAACTTACTTAAATACTACTACTACTTACTTACTACTACTACTTTAAAATTTCTACTACTACTAAATACTACTACTATAATTTAAAAATAAAAATAATTATAATAATAATAATAATAATATAATAATTTAAAAAACGGTGTTTTTTTTTACTGCTTAATTTTATGGGGTATTGGTTCGATCCCTTTCTGTTGCCATTGTTTTAGGGCCCTACTCTTTTTTTTTTGCATATTAATTTTTTATTTCACTGGTAAATTTGGGAAATACGTGCTTGTAAAAAATTTTCTACCCCATTTTTGTTAAAAAAAACTTTGAAACACCTTTTTTTTATATCGATTTGTATTTTGCTTTACGGCATTGAAATTTAAATTTTTTTGAATTTTAGTCGCACGAATTTTTTGATATTTAATTTTTTTTCTTTTTTTCAAAAAAAGTTTAAAAAAGGGGTATGGATTTTACCAAAAAAATGCAAAAACATATTTAAGGAAAAAAAAAACAACATTAAAAAAAAAAATCGACCAACCCTAGGAAAAATTTTCAAACAATTTTAATAATTTTAATTTTTGAAAAATTTTTGAAAAAAAGAAAAAAAACACGGATTACGCGGTCTCGATTTTTCCCTTTAGAAAAAATTTTTAAACCCCTACTTTGTCCCCAAAAGCGGAAAATACCCCTTCAAATTTATTTTATTTTACATTGAACCACAACTTGCGGTTGCAGGTGTTTTTTTTGTTTTTTTTTTTCGGGGATTTTCCCGTTTTGGACGCCCCGAGCGCCGGGGGCATTTTCCAGGGGAATTATTTATACAATATCTAATGTCACGAGGGTCTTTTAAAGTGTATTTAAAAGACACTGACGTCCCCTCGTATATTATACCTATCTTTTTACAGTAGGTAGGGTGCGGGTTACAATTTTTCCTGGTGGCATTATACCGTCAGTTTCAATAGATGTACATTTTCTTAAACTTGTTCAGAAAGAAAACCCATCGATTATTTTAATTTAAACATCGTTAAATAATGTAAGCTAAAATATCAGCCAATTTCACCTTTCCGGACACCTAATAGAGAAATTTATTTTTTCTTCAGTCCCTGACACTGCCGGGGGTCAATGCAGCCAAATATTAGGACCGCCTCCGTGGTCGAGGGATAGAGTCGATGACCCTAATCAAATTTACCTCCTTTGGCCCCGTGGGTTCCGATCCCCGGGAGATGCTTTTGGTAGCAACAGAGGAATGTAGTCTAGACGCTGTGTACCTCTCAGGAACGATGGTTTTAGGGATATGACTGAAATTTACTGTTGGAAAAAGCGTAAAAATGAAACAAACAAACAAACCAAAGCTGCCAAAAAATTGATGACGTTATTCAATTATTTTATTTTTTAAAAATCTCTGAACTGGTGCATTAAAATAAAACTCACCTCACGTGTATATTCCATTTTTTCGGCTAAACTATAAATCTGATATTATATAACAGTATAAGTTCAACACTACACAATCTATAGCAAAATAGATTATGGATGTCCGTGCGGAAAAAACGAAGAATTCGTGCAAAATCTAAAACTTTGCGATAACATAAACGTTTGATGGCAAAACACACAAATAAACACTATAATATAAACAGTAGACTGTGAAAACGTAATATAAATAGTAATTTCTACAATAATATTACCATCACCTTAAATTTATCATCATCTTCATCAAAAGCATCATTACCTCCGCCATCATCGTGATCATAATTATAATTAACATCAATAATATCATCACAATCACCATCATCATCACAATTATCATCATTATCATTATTCAAATCATCATCAAATCCATTATCATCAGAATCATCATCACCCCCATCATCATCATCATTTTATTTGTAATAAAAGTGTTTGTCATAATCAAAATATTAAAAATCCCTACATCATAAAAAATAATACCCATCACACGAATCATATATGACCATCATCCTTATAAAAATCTTCTCCACCTGCATCATCATTATCATAATAATAATAATAATAATAATAATAATAATAATAATATTAATAATAATAATAATAATAATAATAATAATAATAATAATAATAACAATAATAATAATAATGATGATGGTGATGATGATGGTGGTGGTGGTGGTGGTGATAATAATGATGATGATGATGATGATGATGATGATGATGATGATGATGATGATGATGATGATGATGATGATGATGATGATGATGGTGATGAATGATGGATCTAATAATAATATATTGAATAATAGATCTAATAATAATGATAATGATGATTATGATGATAATATCGATCGATCGAGATTTATTCATTCGTTTGTTCGTTCATTCATTCATTCATTCATTCATATAAGGTAAATGCCATTGAAATTTAGTATTACATTTATTTCTCTGTTTTTTTGTTCAATGTTTTGAATCGCTGCTGCCGCGTCAACTTTTAACTGATGTTCCGCTTTATTTGATCATGTTTGATAAGTATATAAAGAAGAAAAATATATTTGAATCGAGCCGTTTACTATTTCTGTTTGGCGTCAGAGACTTTTATAATTATTTGTGATAAAGCTCCTTGTTGCCGTATTACCAATGAATGAATGAATGAATGAATGAATGAATGAATGAATGAATGAATGAATGTGAATGAATGAATGAATGAATTAACCTGCACTGTATATATTCCTCACTATTTTACTCTTTCTTTCCCTCTTGCGCAGTAAACTTCAGTTAGTTGAAGGTGGCAAGTATATATATTGGAAGAAGAAGAAAGAAGATGAATGAATGAATGAATGAATGAATGAATGAATGGATAATGCGTCAAAAGTAACGTGGTATGATCACACTGTATATAACAAAGAAAGACCTACACCACTAAACTTATTCACCATTAATGATGCACAAGTAAAGTACTTATGGTAAAAAAATCACATTTTTTTTACTTGAAAACTTTGTATAAATATTTTGGGGTGTGCCTAAAATACGTAAAGTGGCGTAAAGAGGCGTAAAGTTGCGTAAAGTGGTGTAAAGTAAATGACTACCGGCGTAAAGTGGGGAAAAACTGGTATCTGGCGTCAAATCGACAAACTCTTTCAATATTTAACTACATACCTATTATACTGATATTTCTGTGGGGTTTAATGTGTTGAAAAAGTAAAAAGGGAATGTAAACATGCGTCCGATGTACATTCACGATATATAATAATAAAAATATGTCAATATCTTCATACTTAATTATTTAAAGTGCACTTTTATATATATTTCTTCCAGAGTTCTACCCTTCTGTCTTTTTATTTTCAATTTTCTTAATGAACGAGCTTTATGTACAAATAATTTCCGTGGCGTATCAAATAATATCCGTGGCGTCACAAATAATATCTGTGGCGTAAAGTGGATTGAAACCAGTCGAAAAGGTATTTCGTCCCTTCCAATGGGTCTATATTTTATATAATAAACATGATTTGTGTTTACCCTAATTTCAGATAATAATTATTTATTTTCATTCAACTTAAAAACACAATATCGTGAAGTATATGGAAACTGGTGAAAAGTGGATTGTAAATTGAAGACTTGCGTGTTGAGAACGTACGTTAATCTATAAATCTGTCCAATTAATAGTGAATATTTGTAAGGTTTGAGAGAAATTAACATATTCACAAACCCATTTTCTTTTTATCTAATGCCTTAAATGTGAAGAAAAAGGTTACCTAGTGTTTAATCAAAGCGCCCGAAATTAGCGCACGTAAAGTAGACGTCAGACGTTGAACGGCTAACGCTGCAAACTAAAATAATGCGAGTTTCATTGCGGCGTTAGATTTAAATATTTTAGAGAATAATGATATTTTAAATGAGAAATGTGCTATAATGAACAAAATGCAGCACTTACATTTTATGTAAACTTACAAATATACGGATTAAACATTAAACGTAAACCTATATATAACAAGTTGGGCAAAGATACATATCATGGTGTGAGTGATAATTACTGTGCGTAATATGGATTTTATTTCACAAATAATACCCAGTGTTTCAATGGTTAGCATAAAATAAATGCATTTGAAAGACTAACTTACTATTTTATTGTTGAATAAAAGTTATGTTATGTCAAGTTATATTGTGTTATGTTATGTATAACTGAGATAAAAATGAAAACATTTCCTCAATGCCGTGTCCTAGAGTATTCCGGTCTCCCCTACTTTTTATTGTTTTTGATAAGAGTTAAGTATGTAAAAAGAATCCTTTAATCCAAGTGATTACCTATTATTATTTATTTTCAATAATTAAACGTTTTCTTTTACCGAAATAAACACTTTATATTTACTTTACGCCACTTTACGCCACTTTACGCCCCTTTACGCCATTTTACGTATTTTGTTTAACATGCAGTTCTTTAGAAAAATGTTCAAATTGGTGTGAAACAAATTGTGAGAGATATCACGGATGTAATATAAATCCGTGGAGATATGAAATGATTTTCCGAATTACTTTATTATTCATTTTGAGATATTCGAATTGTTATTTCCGTTCTCGAACATGGGTTGAAAGTGTTTTGACCGAATGCCATTGGTTCGAAATATTCTTGGTTCGAATTGCAATTCAAACGTTTCAAAAGCGCTTGTAAGATACAGATGCAATATTCAATATTTTGATTTTTATGTTTGTCTGTTTGTGTAAGTAAATCCTTATCCACCACAGGTTAGTTTATTAATTGAAAGATTATCTTTTTTCATATGGTATGCAATTTTTCACATATCTTGAATTTAAGAATAACATTGGAGAAATCTTGAAAAAATAACATGGGAGAAACGCTTGCTGAACTTGAAGTTAGCTACATTTTTTAAACTAACATGTATGACCACGGATTTATATGTTCTTAAGATCCGTGGTCTGACTTTAGGATTCTATGTCTTGTGAAAAAAGAAAAATGTTAAAGAAAAGAAATTAAAAATTAGGGGTGTCATCGATTCAATCGATATCGGTGTATCAACGATCTTTGTTATCCGATTCGATATCGATTCCATTTGTTAAATATCGGATATCGAATGCACATATATTTCTGGCTAAAGAGACTTCAGTGTACAGGTTTATATAGAACTGATAGACCTGTTTGTTGTTGCAAAAACGTCAAAATAAAAGCGACTTATAAAGTACTGGAAGCAAGAAACATTTTTTTCTAAAATGAAAACGGAAATCAATGCCAAAGTTACCTCCCGGTGTCTCTAACGAATGCTGCCTAATTTCGTTGCAATCTCGCACGTCTGCTAAGTGGATGTCAAGACCCCTCAATTCAGATTTTAAAAAGGGAAAATGCCAAGAAAAGTTTGTCAGTGTTTCTTTGTAAAAATTATGATTACAAAATGTTAAACTTGAATAATTATTCAGGTTCTAAACACTATAATTTGCCAATTTAACCCGGCTTAATTGGAACGGCAAGGACGGGATTTAGCATGATCAGTATAAACTACGTAATAGCAACAACAACAACTAAAGTAAAATGGAAAAGGCTTTAAACTTTGTTACTAGTCATTAGTTTTCATTTATAGCTATATGATAAAAAAGAAACATATTATTCAGTTTTCATAGTTTATCTTTTTTGCATTTGTCTATATATAACTGCTTTGTCAGTGTCCTTAGGAAACATTTAAAAAGACTTGAAAACTTAAATCTAGCCTGGCAATCGATATATCGCTGTATCGCCGATAATTCATTACCGATATATCGATACAAAAATCCTTATCGATGACACCTCTATTAAAAATTTTTGAGAGAAAAAAAAATAGTAAAAAAAATCGCCACAAGGCCATTGATGCAATTTGGTCGAAGTGGGCCGCATTCCTCAGACAGGGTCTTTGAAATAGAATGGTCTGAAGTCGAACCAATTTTACGAAAGATGTAACGGCTGAATCAACCGACCGTGATCTGACATAGTAATAGCCCTAAAACTTAAAAATCAAATTGTAAGATAAAGTTTTGGTAGCCCGGGGTTCTATGATATCACGGTACTTAACGTTTATCGGAAAATATTCAAATATAAATATCAAACATGAATAAGATTTTTCTTCTTTTTAATATGCGAACCTTTTCCAAACTGTTTGTCAAAAAATTATTTCAAAAGATCTAATTAAAATGTCATTTATTAAACTATTTCCAATGTCTGCCATTTTGGGTAATTTCAGAGGAGGTTACTATGGTATCACCGTAACCGTAACCCCTAAAACTGCAAGTATGGAAGGATAGATGGGTCAAACTCCTCAAGTTAAGTTCAATGTGAAAAAATTCAAACAGTTAACTGTTAAGTTTACTTGCTATAATAATTATTCAAACTATATGAACAGATGTCACGATATGTCAGTATATGATGATTGTAACATATTTTGATAGACTGTAAAAATAACTAAGGGCAGTGTTTATTTTAAGAGGGGTGATGGGGGGATTCACCCATATTTTTGAGAATTCACCCCTATGTTTTAAGAGGAAGGGGGAAAATTTTACATAGGGAAAGAAGGAAAAAGATCAACAAATGTAATAAATCCTCACTTTTCGATAAAAATCCCCCCAGTTTTTCGAATCCATGAATAAACACTGAAAGGGATATAGTGGTTGGATATGAAGACTTTATAAAATAGTTTTCTTGCCACGAATACATTCATTATTCGCAAAATTATATTTATTCGAAGATGAAAATGAATCTTGTGTGCCACTTTTACAAATATTAGCATCATCGTGTGTTGCTTTTACTAGCAGTCACAGAAAATGTAAATACTGTGATCAGGGCTCGAATTTAACTTTTTTGGCCACTAGCAATTTTTAACTAGCAAAAACTGAATTCAACTAGCACTTTTTACGACAATGGTTTTTTAATTCCAAAAGAAATTTAATTATTTGATGTGCTGAAAGACAAAGTTGTTGCTGGATATAGAGAATAACAAAATTAAAATTGTTATTTATTTGGACGAGTTCGAACTGCCCGGGGTACGAATCAGCAACATAACTTTCCACTAAAAACTTGATATAGGGGACAGGGATACTAATCAAATGTCAATATACATGTAAAAAAATAATAATGCAATATTGTCGCCATACCGACGATGTATGGTCTGGATTATGCGCACAAAAATCGGCACAAAATATTTTGGCAACATTTCCATCGTCGTTGAGTTCGTACGTAAGACTGATGAGCAGTTCTTTCTCCCATTTTTTAACCGTTTTAACTAAAGGTCTGATTGTCTTTCTTTTGATAGACTGTGAATCATCTTCTGTACTCAGAGTATTGTTATCGGTAGACACATTTGCTTCAATAAGTGGGAAGAAGTTCGTTATTTTTCGTTCAGACATTTTATTCTGATCACGCTTAATTTACACGGACAAAATGACATTTGGACTGGTTTAAATTTGTGTACCTTTTTAAGCGAGGTTAAGGTATAGTAAATGTAAACCAGACAGCAAGTGCGCGCATAGTTTATAACTCGGCTACCTGCGAATATTACGCCCCATTTATATTTCAGATTTTCCTGACAAGCGTTTTTTTTTTACTTCAACTCGCAAAAAATTGCGAGTAGTCATAAATCTAACTTGCAAAATCATTTTTCAACTAGTTTACGAGTTTGCGAGTGTTAAATTCGAGCCCTGTGTGATACCATAGAACCCATGAGATCATAGGAATCAAGTAAAAATTGATCAAACAATTACTGAAAACTAATCCTGGCTACATTACATTATCAGTTTTTACCTTAAAAAGTAACATTTTTATAGATTTGCAATGAAATTACGAATTTTCCGATCCCGGTGTCAAGGTACTTGCATAAATTTAAAAAAGCTTGAAAAATCAGACCTATTTAAAATTTATGCAAAAAAAATGTTTATATGAAAAATGTTATTTAATCGTATCATGTAATGATTTTATAATTTTTCACAATACCATTTACAAATATTTGATGCTCAATTTAGTGCATCTTAAAAATGGTGCCGTTTGTTACAAATATTCTGAACAAGAATTTCCATATTTTTCAAAGATCATGGCTTAAAAAACATTATTTTCTAAAAAATTATCTTATTTTCACAAGTTTTAAGATTTTTAAAGAACTTCATGTTCTTTTTCGTTTTTGCTTAAATTTGTATTTAATTTTGGCCCTTTTCTTGAACACTTACATAATTTGCGTAAAGCAAACTATTCTAAGTTATACCAAGACATGTTTAATTGTAGCAAGAAGGGTGTACATAGGGCATTTCCTGACCAATCTGTTTGAAAGACCCTGCCTCAGAAGGGAAAATTTCAGTTTATGGGGGAAATATCAGTAAACTATCAGTTGACTTTTAATTTTTTTTTTTTTCGATACAACTTGCTACTGTGAAACATTTTGAGGACAAAAGTCTTCTCGGTGCATCCATACAAATATCAAACCATAGTTACCATGTGAAATGGAAAACGGTGCAGGCATACAATATTCCGCTGACAAAAACGCTGTGAAACAGATCAATATTTCTCTTGTCAAAACTGCATTTATAACTTTTTAGCTCACCTGTCACAAAGTGACAGGGTGAGCTTTTGTGATCGCTTTTCGTCCAGTGTCCATCCGTTGTCCCTCCGTAAACTTTTACTTTAAATGACATCTCCTCATAAACCACTAAGCCAATTTCATCCAAACTTCACAGGAATGTTCCTTTGGTGGTCACCTTTTAAAATTGTTCAAAGAATTTAATTCCATGCAGAACTCTGGTTGCCATGGCAACCAAAAGAAAAAACTTTAAATATCTTCTTTTAAAGAACCCAAAGAGCTAGAGCTTAGATATTTGGCATGAAACATCTTCTAGTGAGTGTCTACCAAGTTTTTTTAAAAAAAAAGCCCTGGGGTCATTGATTTTCCCTATATGCATATAGTAAAAACTTAAAAAATCTTCTTTTAAAGAACTCAAAGTGCTAGAGCTAAGATATTTAGTCTGAATCATGTTCTTATGGGTGTCTACCAAGTTTGTTCCAATAAAAGCCCTGGGGTCAAAATGGGCCCGCCCTGGGGGTCATTGATTTTCCTTATATGTGTATAGCAAAAACTTAAAAAATCTCCTTTTAAAAAACCAAAATAGCTAGAGTTTAGATATTAAGCATGAATTCTCTCCCAGTGAGTTTCTACAAAGTTTGTTCAAATAAAAGCCCTGGGGTTAAAATTGGCCCCGCCCCAGGGGGTCATTGATTTTCCTTATATGTGTATAGCAAAAACTTTAAAAAATCTTCTTTTAAAAAAACAAAATAGCTAGAGTTTAGATATTAAGCATGAATTATCTTCCAGTGAGTGTCTACAAAATCTGTTCAAATAAAAGCCCTGGGGTCAAAATTGGCCCTGCCCAAGGGGGTCATTGATTTTCCTTATATGTATATAGCAAAAACTTAAAAATCTTCTTTGAAAATACCAAAATAGTGCTAGAGTTTAGATATTAAGCATGAAACATCTTCTAGTAAGTGTCTACAAAGTTTGTTCAAATAAACGCCCTGGGGTCAAAACTGGCCCCGCCCCAGGGGTGTCATTGTTTTTAACTATATGTGTATTGTAAAAATGTAAATCTTCTTTTAAAAAACCCAATGAGCTAGAGCTTAGGTGTTTATCATTAAACATCTTCTTATGGGTGTCTACCAGGTTTGTTCAAATAAAAAGCCCTTGGGTTAAAATTGGCCCTGTTGGGGGGGGGGGAGGTGATTGTTTTTTCATTATACATGTGTAGTCAAAACTTAACATCTAATGGGTGTCTTCCAAGTTTGTTCAAATAAAAGCCCTGGGGTTGTTTAAACTGGCCCGCTCCAGGGGCCTATATACAGGTGAGCGACCTCCGGGCCATCATGGCCCTCTTGTTTATTTTTCCATTGAATTTTACTGTACATGTTTTGAGGGTAAATTTTTACCCTTGTTAAAGGAAAAAAGGGTTGAGGACTGTGACCGGCATATTTGGCCACATATTTTGTGAGATTATCAATGGCTGTGTGCATAGTCTTTCAATAAAGGACTACCACTTTCACTGTTTGGATTATTTTGCCTGTTACTGCTTGTATACACCAGTACCTTGTAGTATACTAGAAACTACCTTGCAACCAGTACTTTCTAATTCTTCATTTCTTGGCAGATTTCTGAATGATTTGAAGAATGATCCTGGCTCTGTGCTGATGTATCTAAAAACACTAAGCAAAATAAAGGCATGTGTGCACAAAGTAAACTGACAAAACAAATATTTTTATTGAACCAATGAAATAATTCACAGGTTATTTATGACATCAGAAGCGCAAAAAAGAAATGAATGCATTTTACTGTATAAAAAGCACACATTTAATTTTAACATACATGTACATGTACCCCCTAATTTTAAATTCACAAATTGAGAAAATTTGCAATTTATTTATATTTTTCCTTTGAATTTATTTAATTAGATTTTAGTAAGAACAATTAATATTGTCTGATTTGTGGTAAATTGTCTGTATAATTATGCCATGGCACATGTAGTTTAATAATTTAATTTAATAACATTAACACAAAAATGAAATTTGTTAAAACTGAAATTGATGAATCATATGAATTCCAAATTTTGATTTTTATATTATGGTTAACAATGTAAAATTGATGGAAATATTTCAATCAGTGCTATAAATATTAATTAATTTGATATATGTTGTATATTTTCAGGTGAAAGATGAACAAGAGACCAAAGTTAGATTTAATGTTTGATAAACTGTTTGAAGAACTACCAACATTTGTGAAGGATGCCAGTAAAGATCCCAACTCATATATTACACAAAATGGTAGCTTTAAATATGATGACTTGGTTAATCAGAAATTCATGAAGCAAAAAAGAAAAGACACATCAGATTTATTGTCATATAAAGATACTAAAGAACAATCAGAAAACTTAACGAACAGTGATTTGATGGTAAAGGATTTGCCAGGTCTGTTAATAAGCACAGAAAATGATTTGAAATTATCGTCGGGTAGAAATAATAACCACAGCAAAACTTTTAATAAACCTTGTGATCAGACACCACAGTATATATCAGCATCAGTTCTTCATTATCATGATGAACAGTCGGATATAAGTCATGCAAATTGTGAAGATAAAAGTGTTGAAGGTAATGATAAACAGTTAGAAAAAAATGTAAAAAATCATCAGTCATTAAGTTGTAATAGTCACCTTGATACTTTTAATACATACACACCAGAAAATGGTCACTGTAATCATAATTTGAACTTGGCAGCAGCATTAGACAACAGTCACTCCAACCATGTGATTAACTTGTCAGCAACGTCAGATGATAATTTATCTGATATTAATGCAGCTGTAAATCAGTTGATGGAACAGTCAAATCAACACAAGCACACACCAGAAAGTAATGTTATGTTTCCATGGCAACAGTGGCCAGTAAATCAGTCATCTAGTTTGTTGTTAGAGAAGGGTCAACAGCTTCCAAATCAGGATCAACTAGGTATGACATTGTGTAATACATGTAATCCTCAATGTCTTTAAACATATTTGCCATCTTATGCTTTTTATCCTCTACAAAAGTTATATAACTTTTCCCTCCGGGTCATATTTGGTCCCACCCAGGGAGCGTTGTAAGGGCCATCATGGCCCTCTTCTTCTATTTATCATGCACCCGGGAATATATATGACATGCCCTAATGTGATCAAATATTATATTAATAATAGAACTGAGGTGAGAGAACTAGGGCCATTATAACTCCCTTGTTTATACAATTTTTTTATTAAAATAATACACATACTGGTAGTAAGGAATGTATGAGTAGTCAAGTTTTTAGATTATACCACAAGACATTTGTACACAATTAATGATAAATGAATAAATAAGTATTCCTGTTTTTTTTTAGACTTGAAGCCTTCTACAAGAAAAAGTTCCACTTCGAGTTTGGAAAATAAAAGACAAGGTGTAAATTTAGAAGAGAAGTAAGTATTGTCCATGTATTGATACAAATGACGGTAAAATATTAAGTTTGTTTAGGAAATAATAAATAATTACAAGACAGTAACAAGAGTAAATATTTTGATTGGATGTAGTACAACTATAAGTCGTTCTGGAAAGTTAAGTGAACAGTAACATTTACCAAATCATTATTAAATGTTTAAAAGGAAACAAAAATAAATAAATAAACGACATAAGTAGTGTATACTGGTTCAAGGCGGTCTGTCTGTCTGGCTATCTTTGTATACTTCATCTATTTTTTAACTTTGCTATTATAAGAATATTGGAGCTATTTTGCTCCCATCCCTGGCATCAACCTACATGTAACACTTTAGTTTAATGTGCATCATATTTCATTACTAACTTAGAATATTTGCATATAACTACATTTGGATCTAGGATGGATTTTGACACAATTATAGCTCTATATAAGCCTTAAAAAATTCTGGTTTAATTTTGCACTAAAACAATGAAGGTCTTCACTTGAAACTAGATATATATCTTATAGAATTGGAGGTTACTATCCAAGGCTCCCATAACTCTAACATGGATTATGACTGAATTATGGCCCTTTGTGAACTTAGAAAAATGTTGGGATAAGTTTTACATGCAACATCAGCCTTCAAAACAATAAGGATATTCACTTGAAACTTAATACATGTCTTTAAGGTCATAAATAGAAGTCCTGTTTCAAGACTCATAACTTTGGCAGGGATTTTGACTTAATTATGGCCCTTTGTGAAATTCGAAAATTATTGGTGTAAAATCAGTTTTCAAAACTACTGCAAGAATGGTTTGAAACATAATAAATTTTAGCATAGATTTTCAATAAATGGGTTGTTGTGCTTTGATTTCAGAAAAGGATAATCTGTTTCAGTTTCAACAAAGTTTATCATTTTAGGTTTCAACTAGCTGAGGGAATTAACATTAATTGAAGTAACATTAAAAAATGAGCTTAAAGTATAATTCTGATAAAGACTATCCCGGTTAATACTAACAGAAAGTTGGTGGTTCAACTCCTGACACAACTGTGCCTGAAATAATACATGCAGAGACACCTGAGACCTTCCTCAATCAGTAAAGCTGGAGAGTCACTACATGACCTTGACAGTGTTGATGTGACCTTAAAGTTCAACATTCAAACATAATAAAGACTGATTTTGTCATTTAAGATTACCTGATATATGTATCTAGGACATATAATAATGTAAAAATTATTCATCATAGGTTGTAAACAAAAGATTTATTGTTTTCATAGATCTATGTCTGAGTGATAACTGTTATCACACTATATTAGGTTAGAACTGTAATTATAAATTTATTGTTATTTCAGAAAGCTTGCTGATTATAAACAAGGAAGAGATGTTAATTTGGAAATGTCAAAACAGAATCATAAATTTGCATTAGATGACATTAAACAGAAAGAAGATCCTAAACCAATATGTCAGATTATTGCAGAAAAATGTGATATAAACAAGTCATCAAATGATAGATTAGGTATGTCATTATATAGAGAAGATTTACTAGCTCAACTGATAGATAATTTATAAATTAGTATATTGGGGGAGACCCCAGTTCGCCTCTTATGTTTATGTTTTTCGTAAACGACATCACACAAAACATTAACAGTGATTTAGATGATGTCATAACAATTGATGACGTCAAACTATTTTTGATATTATACGCGTATGACATGGCTTTATTTGCTACATCACAAAAATGTCTTTAGTCTATGCTTAACGATATCGAGAATTACTGCTCTACATGGGTTATGAAAATAAATGTTAACAAAACGAAGGCCATGGTTTTTGAAAATGCAAGTGTACGTTCGCAGATTTCTATATATATGGTCAAAAAATTGAACTGGTGAACTTTAAATATCTCGGTGTAAATTTTTTTCAAAAATGGTAACTGGGCACGCACACAGAAACAAATTGCCGACCATGCCTCGTTTTCACTGCATAACTTGTTTTCTATTTTTCGACAAATTGAATTGCCTAACTCAAAAAAGATTCATTTATTTGATGTGTTAGTTGGATCCGTGCTGAATTTTTGCTCAGAAATATGGGGTACACATAGAGCCACTGATATTGAAATGATACACTTAAAGTTTCTGAGGTATATCCTAGGGGTACGTAAATCAACAAATTTATCAACTTTGTATGGGGAGTCCCTTTAAATATTTATCGAAAAATAACTATTTTGAAATATTGGAGAAAACTTATTTCGCATGACAACTTATCGCTAACGTTCAAAACATACAGTGTCCTAAAATTTGACGCGGATAACAATGTCACGTATAGAAACAAAAATTGGGCTTCACATGTAAAAACTATACTCGAAGAGCATGGTTTCGGTTACGTATGGCACAACCAAGTTCTAGATAATGTTACCTTTGATATGATAAAGCGTATAATCTTGGATAATTATAAGCAGTCATGGTATGCAGAAATAAATAATTCTCCGCGATTACAAAGCTATAGTTTATTTAAACACACTTTTGAACGCGAGACATATATTGATTGTATACAAGATAGAAAATATATGACAACTTTATCAAAATTTCGGGTATCTGCACATAAGCTATTTATAGAATCCAGAAGATATACGAATATTCCGCGAGAGCAACGGTTATGTACGTCCTGTAACATGAACAGAGTTGAAACAGAGTTTCACTTTTTGATGGTGTGTCCTGGATATAGAGAGCTTAGAAAAAAGTTTTTAAAGGGATATTTCTGTAGGTGGCCGACAATTAATAAATTTGAGTCTTTATTAAATTCTAAATCGAAAATAGAGCTAAACAACCTTTACGAAGTTTTTATATTTTGCAAATAAAGAGAGAATATCTTGATGATGTAGTATTAATTAATATCATATTAACATCTAGATGTAGTATCAATATCATATTGAAGACATTTTGTGCAACCTGCTATTTCCTAAGTTTTTTAAGACCTTTCAGGAAATAGTGTTATTATTATTTTTTCATTCCATGTCAGATCTCATTTTCATGAATGTACATATATGTTTTGTTTTTGCTATAAACATTGTAATAATGTTTTATTTGCAATAAAAGTATTTGTATTGTTGTATTGTATATATTGTCTTGTGTCAGTGAAAGAATTTCAGTTGTTGGAAACACAGGATTTTAAGAGCACAAACTGTGATGATTTTCTATTATATATATGGGGTGTCATAGTGTTAAATTCACCATCATATTATGGCACTGACATTTAAAACAGCACAAGTTTTAGAGCTGTATTTAAGTTGTGACAATTTGCCTCATCTCTCATGATTTATCATCGTTAATTGATTACATAGAGGATATTTGTTTGTTTTGCATGTAAGATTGAAATATAATTTCACTGAGTGAACACCAGATGCAATATTTTCACGAGTGGCGTAGCCACGAGTGAAAATATAATAGCTGGTGTTCACGAATGGAATATATTTCAATTTTATATGTAAAACAAATAAATTTCTGTTTATTTCATGCTTTTTAAGTGACTTTAAGTATTTTTTACTGATTTTGCCGCGCACATTCTCCTTTGTGACGTCATCATATCATGACGTCAATTTTGAAATACAGTTCTGTTAAATTTCCCTAATTTTGTTACATTTTTAACATGATTTATGGTGAGTTCGACTTACTTTTCCTAAAGAAGCAAAATTTACGTACGACGGCATTTATTTTTGCCTGTTATTCCATTTAGTTATGATTTTCTTTTCATCTGCATTCAGATATAGTCCGGCTACAGTGAAAATTATATTTTATAAATTTCACTAGTGGTTTATCAGAATATAATCATCTGATATATTACAATAAAACACTGGAAAGCATGAAATAAAATACATGCAATTAAATATATGATTATTCCTATATTTCAAGTGTTCAGTATTAACATCTGGCATCTTATGTATTTGAAGCCAGGATAATTTTCTTTACAAATGTTGTCGTATAATTACTAACACTTGAACAAGGAACATTCCTCTAAAAAACTCATACATAAACAGATTTGTTTTGAAACTGTTTAAAAGTAAAGAACAGTGAACCATTCAAATGAGAAAACAGGATTTGGTTTTAGAGAAACATACTTGTTAACTTAATTTTAGAGAAACATACTTGTTAACTTAATTTTAGAGAAACAGACTTGTAAACTTGATTTTAGAGAAACTTACTTGTTAACTTGATTTTAGAAAAAAAAGACTTGTTATTTTGATTTTAGAGAAACAGACTTGTAATCTTGATTTTAGAGAAACTTACTTGTAAACTTGATTTCAGATTTGCAGCCTTCATCAAGAAGATCAAGGATATGTTCTGATGAAAGTAGAAACAAGAAAAAGTTGTAAGTAAACAAACATTCTTTATAGTGATCATATCACAAAACACTAACATAGAGTTGAAATATGTTACAAAATACTTAGAGAGAGTTAAGAATATAGCACCAACATGGAGTTAAAATATGTACATAAACACAAAGTAGAGTTAAAATTTGAAAGTAATAATGAAATTTGATACAAAACACAAAACATAGAGTTAAGAATATATAATATCAGGTACCATATTTGTTATAAAATTTAGCATTATTTAGGCAATAAATGGGTATAGTTATTCTATAATTGAAATCAATACTTTTTTATTTTCCAAAATGGATCAGAGAAATACATAAATAATGTTAATAGAAAAAAAGGTAAGAAAAAAAGAAAAAAAAAGTTTCCCCATCTTGGGTTTGAACACATGACCTTCAATTCAATCCAGTTGACAGTAATTATATCATATTTGAAAATAAGTTAGAAAACAGTAACTTATGAATATGCTGTGTAACACCATTATAGAGTTAATATGTTACATAGCCCCATCATAGAGTTAAAGATAAGTTAGAAAACAGTATTTTATGAATATGCTGTGTAACACCATTATAGAGTAAAATATGTTACATAGCCCCATCATAGAGTTAAAGATAAGTTAGAAAACAGTAACTTATGAATATGCTGTGTAACACCATTATAGAGTAAAATATGTTACATAGCCCCATCATAGAGTTAAAGATAAGTTAGAAAACAGTAACTTATGAATATGCTGTGTAACACCATTATAGAGTAAAATATGTTACATAGCCCCATCATAGGGTTAAAGATAAGTTAGAAAACAGTAACTTATGCATATGCTGTGTAACACCATTATGGAGTAAAATATGTTACATTACCCTATCATAGGGTTAAAAATAAGTTAGGAAACACTCACTTATAATTATGTAAACTATTAAAGAGTTAAAATGTCTTACAGAACCCCATCACAGATAAGAGTTAAAATATGTTAAAAACACAAAGAGTTGATATAATACATAACCCCATAACAGAGTTAAAATTAAGGAATAATATATCCCAACCTGTGACTTTATGGCTCAATAAAATCACTGTTTGGAGTTCTGATGTGAGGAATTATATCACGAGGGATAAAATATCAACGGATAAAATCACTGATTTGGATATATTATTTTGATTCTATACAACATTAACTAGTAAATGCTGCTATACATGATATTAAGCTAAATTGCACCTGATTTGTTTCTGTACTTATTTCAGCAGGTCGCATTTTTCGTGGATACGTCACATGTATATAATGATTACGTCACATGTCTAAATATAGAACGTCAACAGTGATTTTATTGTATAATAACACACACTTTTGGTTCTTCTATGTTCAATAAGGAAAAATGTGGGTCGTGATTAAACACCGACACAGAGTTAAAAATAAGTTACAAATCACTAATTATTATTCAGAATTTTTGTTATAAAAGAAATACAATTCTTATCAAAGTTCTTCACGTCTATTTTCAGGAGGGATGTCAGTTTTGATAAAGATACTATGAGGTGTAATGATGAATGTAGAAAGGAAGGACAAAGTTCAACAGACTGTGTTAGTACATGTATAACATGTATAAATGATTGTCCTAACAACAAACTGCAGAATGATTGTACTGTTGCTGTACAGAAAATAGGGAGGAGAAAACAAGGTGTTATAAGGTACAGCCAACCTATAGAAAAAGTTGGAATAATCGAAAAATGTGATAATTCAAACAAAACTAAAACAAGCAATCCTATAAAAAGTCTAAAGGATAACTTAATCAATTCAACAAATCATGTGTCTAACTATCATTCTAAAGATAAAGTATTTAGTACCTTCTTGGATATTTCAAAAACGGCAGTTTGTCCAAATAACAACCATGAAAAACAAGGGACATCACTATGTAATAAACTAAATTGCTCAATGAGCAAGACAAAGAATGATTGTAATGCCCCTTGTTTATTGGACCAAAATTTAAATGGCATAAATCAAAGTTGTGAAAACACCTGTAACGATGGAAACAGTCCAGCTATAAATTGTTTTTTAAAGGGAACTAAAAGAAAAAGGTATACTTCTTTGTCAGATGAACTCACAGGAAAGGCAAAGAAGGTAATCAAGGAATCACATTCTTGTTCTAATAGAAAGGAAAGTCATAAAATAAGTCAAGTGAAAAAAGGTAAAAAACAAAAACACAGTACAGTGAAAAGGGAAACCATGAAGCATAAAGGCTTTGCTTTCAGTGAACACAAATTTATTCACAAAATCCACAAAAGAATAGCTAAATCTAGTGATCTAATGCCAAACGAGATGAATGTAGATGTTGATGGCGAGACAATAGATACAGATAGTATAACAGAACTAGAGAATATTATACCTTTAGCTGTAGTTATAAACAAACATACCAGAAAGGCTAGAGTTAGACAAGAAAAACAAAAAGGTGCTTTACATAGACATGTAACAAAAGATGCCATTTGGACAACTGTTAACTTAAAGTATTAAATATCACATCATTAAACACTATTTTATGAATTTCATGTTTTAAACCTGTGATAAATACAAATAAAATTGTTATGTTTTGAAATTTTTTTTATATACTTGTTATTCTGTCTGATGAAGTTATAAACAGATAATTGTTGGGAAAGAATTACTGAATGGATAAATTTCAATAATTTCAATAATGCAAAAAGTCATATAATAATTTATGAATCATAATGTTATACCTTATGATCAGTTTTTATGCCACCGCAGCATCTGCTATGCTGTGGCATATAGCGATTAACCTGTGTGTGTGTGTGTTTGTGTGTGTGTTCTATAGATTATATAGTGAACTTAAAAAATCTTCTTGTGAAAAACCACTAGTCCAATTTCAACCAAACTTGGCAGGATTGATCCTTAGGTGAAGGGCTTCCAAAGTTGTTCAAAGAATTTCATTCCAGGCAGAAATCTAGTTGCCATGGCAACCAAAAGGAATTATAAGAAGAAATTAAAAAAATCTTCTTGTAAAGACCCAAAAAGCTTAGAGCCTAGATATTTTGCATAAGGCATTGTCTGGTAGACCTCTACCAAGATTGTTCAAATTATAGCCCTGAGGTACAAATCTGCCCCGCCTCGGGGGTCATTGATTTTCACTATATGTACATATAATAAAAACTTAAAATACCTTCTTGTAAAGACCCAAAAGGCCTAGAGCTTAGATATTTTGCATAAGGCATTGTCTGGTAGACCTCTACCCAGATTATTTAAATTATAGCACTGGGGTCAAAATAGGCCCGCCCGGGGGTCATTGGTTTTCCTTATATGTATATAGTAAAAACTTATAGTAAAAATTTCTTCTAGCAATTGACAAATGCTAGAGGTTAGCTATTTTGCATTAAACATTGTGTAGTGAACTTCTAGCAAGATTGTTCAAATTATAGCCCTGGGGTCAAAATATATACATATAGTAAAAAAATCAAAAAATCTTATTGTCTGAAGGTACAAGGCTTAGTGTTGTATTAATGCAGTGGCATAGCATTTTTCTCAAATGCAATCTTGTTTTGCTTACAGACATGTACACAAAGTTTTGGTTATATAATGTTCTCACTTTATGTTAAATTAACAACATATTATGGATTTGTTTGCAAGAGGTTGTGGTCAATTTGGAATTAAATTTACATTTTATTCTTTTAAATAAAAGGGAAATAGGGGCTTCTGCGGCAGAGTGGTTGATGTCTTTGACTTCAAACCACTTGTTTTTCACAGCTGTAGGTTTCAGCAAGCGTTGTCAGATTCTACATGTGAGAAAGTTCTCCAGTTAGCTTACCAAACGTCAGTGGTTCTACTCAGTTGCCCGTTTGTGCCTGAAATAATGTACAGAGGGGCAATCTACCAGTAAAGCTTGACTATTGCCATATGAAGATTTATGTCTACATTCTGAAGCTAACAAAAGCTTTACACTAGTTGGTGTTGAGTAACATATTTGAAAATACATGAAGGTATAGTAAATACTAATGGTACTTCTGGCTTCATGTTATACACACTTTACCAATACAAAACCTGGATTCTGGTCTTTTACATTACTGCCCCACTGTACCATTACACTACTGCTCCCCTGTACATTCACTATACTGCTCCACTGTACCTTTACATTACTATGAACTATACCTTTACATTTCTGTTGCCCTGTACCTTTACTTTACTGTTGCCCTGAACCTTTACTTTACTGCTCCCCTGTACCTTTACATTACTGTTGCCCTGTACCTTTACTTTACTGCTCCCCTGTACCTTTACATTACTGTTGCCCTGTACCTTTACTTTACTGCTCCCCTGTACCTTTACTTTACTGCACCCCTGTACCTTTACTTTACTGTTGCCCTCTCCCTTTACTTTACTGCTCCTCTGTATCTTTAGTGCTCCACTGAACCTTTACATTATCTTCTATACCTTTACATTACTGCTCCCCTGTATCTTTATATTACTGCTCCACTTTACCTTTACTTAACTGTTGCCATGTACCTTAACTTCACTGCTCCCTTGTATCTTTACTTGACTGTTGCCCTGTACTTTTACATTACTGTTGCCCTTTACATTACTGCTCCACTGTATATTTACTGTTGCCTTTTACCTTTACATTACTGCTCCCCTGTACCTTTACTGTTGCCCTATACCTTAACTTTACTGTTGCCTGGTACCTTTACATTACTGCTCCCCTGTACCTTTACATAACTGCTTCACTGTACCTTTACTTTATTGCTCCACTGCACCTGTATATTACTGCTCCCCCGTTTCTTTGCCTTACTGCTCCCCTTTATCTTTGCATTACTGCTCCCATGTACCTTTACATTACTGTAGCCCTGCACCTTTACATTACTGTTGCCCTGTATCATTACTTTACTGTTGCCCTGTATCTTTACTTTACTGTTGCCCTGTACCTTTACATTACTGCTCCCTTATTTCTTTACATTGCCGCTCTCTTGTATCTTTACTTTACTGTTGCCCTGTACCTTAACATTACTGCTCCTCTGCATCTTTCCTTTACTGTTGCCCAGTACCTTTACATTACTGCTCCCCAGTACCTTTACATTACTGTTCCACTGTATCTTTACTTTATTGCTCCACTGCACCTTCACATTACTGCTCCCCTGTACCTTTACATTGCTGCTCCCCTGTACCTTTACATTACTGTTGCCCTTAACCTTTACATTACTGCTCCCATGTACCTTTATATTATTGCTTCATTGTACCTTTACATTGTTGCTTTTCTGTACTTTTACATTACTATTCCACAGTACCTTTACATTACTCCTTATACCTTTACATTACTGCACCCCTGTGCCTTAACATTACTGCTCCCATGTACCTCTACATTACTGCTCCACTGTACCTTTACTTTATTGCTCCACTGCACCTTTACATCACTGCTCCCCTATATCTTTGCATTACTGCTCCCCTGTATTTTTACATTATTACTTCGCTGTACCTTTACATTACTGTTGCTCTGTACCTTTACATTACTGTTGCACTGTAACTTTACTTTACTGATACCCTATACCTTTACCATACTGTTGCCCTGTACTTTACATTGCTGCTCCCCTGTACTTTTACATTACTGCTCTGCTGTACCTTTACATTGCTGCTCCCATGTACCTTTACATTGTTGCTCCCCTGTACTTTTACATTACTGCTCTGCTGTACCTTTACATTGCTGCTCCCATGTACCTTTACATTGTTGCTCCCCTGTACTTTTACATTACTGCTCTGCTGTACCTTTACATTGCTGCTCCCATGTACCTTTACATTACTGCTCCCCTTTACTGTAACATTCCTGCTTCCCTGTGCCTTTGCATTTCTGCTCCCCTGTACCTTCACTTTACTGCCCCCTGTACCTTTACATTACTGTTCTTCTGTGCCATTACATTGCTGCTCCCATTTTCCTTTACATTACTGCTCCCCTATGCCTTTACATTACTGCTCCCCTATGCCTTTACATTACTGCTCCCCTATGCCTTTACATTACTGCTCCCCCTATGCCTTTACATTACTGCTCCCCTATGCCTTTACATAACTGATCCCCTGTACCTTTACATTACTGATCCCCTGAACATTTTCATTACTGATCCCCTATACCTTTACATTACTGATCCCCTGAACCTTTACATTACTGATCCCCTGTACCTTTACATTACTGATCCCCTGTACCTTTACATTACTGTTGCACTGTAACTTTACTTTACTGATACCCTATACCTTTACCATACTGTTGCCCTGTACTTTACATTGCTGCTCCCCTGTACTTTTACATTACTGCCCTGCTGTACCTTTACATTGCTGCTCCCATGTACCTTTACATTGTTGCTCCCCTGTACTTTTACATTACTGCTCTGCTGTACCTTTACATTGCTGCTCCCATGTACCTTTACATTGTTGCTCCCCTGTACTTTTACATTACTGCTCTGCTGTACCTTTACATTGCTGCTCCCATGTACCTTTACATTACTGCTCCCCTTTACTGTAACATTCCTGCTTCCCTGTGCCTTTGCATTTCTGCTCCCCTGTACCTTCACTTTACTGCCCCCTGTACCTTTACATTACTGTTCTTCTGTGCCATTACATTGCTGCTCCCATTTTCCTTTACATTACTGCTCCCCTATGCCTTTACATTACTGCTCCCCTATGCCTTTACATTACTGCTCCCCTATGCCTTTACATTACTGCCCCCCTATGCCTTTACATTACTGCTCCCCTATGCCTTTACATAACTGATCCCCTGTACCTTTACATTACTGATCCCCTGAACATTTTCATTACTGATCCCCTATACCTTTACATTACTGATCCCCTATACCTTTACATTACTGATCCCCTGCACCATCCATCCTTGTATTCATATTATATTTGCAAACATATGGTGTTTTGTTTATTTTCTAAACGTTTGACAAATAACTTTATATCAATTAGAATACAGTAAGCAAGTATTTGAAGTATATAAAGAAACACCTTTGACAATTATTTTGATTCCGTACTAGAAATCATCATTCTTTATTAATTTACAGTGCGTTTTATTTCTATAATGATAAGACTGAAAAGTGTTAGCTTCCGTGAACCACAACACTGACACGTTCGTAGAATGTTGAATGTTTTAAACTCTGTGTTTGCTAAAAGTGTTCATAATGGCAGATATATTATTATTACAACTGGTGCAATTAGCTATTGTCATTTTGATTAACTGGGTTGTACAATTCTCTTCCTACTCAGCCTAGTTAAAATGAGTTGTTCAAAAATAGATGTTTGGTCACCATTTCTAAACTCTCTGATATAAGACACTAAAATAGTTTGGTAATGTTTGTTTGTATACTGTAAATCAGTACAAAAGTGACATTTTAGCAAGATAGAAGGTAAATTTATCTAACAAAGGTAACAAAGGTCAATCTAATCAATGCATTGACAAAATGGTTTTATTCCGACATTCTATCGTATCTAAGTTCAATATAAAAGATAAGATATAATCAATTTAAGTTATTACATAAAAGGTAAGAAGTTTACCAGATAAGAAGTTGAAACTAAACCGACACAAAGTGTAAGGATCTTATAACCATAGAGTGTAAGGATCTCCTCATAAAATGGATGGAAAAGAAAATGTAAGCATTATCTTAATATATAATATTTGTATCTATAGAAAGAACAAGCATTTTTATAATTTCATAAGATATGTAACTGCAATTTAATGAAAATTAAAGTTAAACAAAATTCTCGGCACTGGAATGATGAATATTTGAAAATATAGCCGTCAAACAGTTTGATTTTCAGTCACAGGTAGCAGATTATTTCGTTTTTTACTCAATTAAAGTCTTACTTATCAGATTGACGGAATATTTACATCATCTGTATTTTTTGTCTTAATCAATAAATTATTAAAACTTTGGAGAATTGTGCTATGTTCCAGTTAAAAAGCACCCCAAAAAGTTTATTGTTAAAATTATTGTTGAAAGCAAAAAGACAAAATATTAGTGATGCTCCTGTTTATATGAATTATCTTTTGCGTTAATTTATGGTTTTAATAATTTCTAATTTCTGTTTGATTGGTGAATTAATTTAAATTACAGCAAAGTTCGAAAACAGAAGTTAACTTTAACACATATGCGACAAAGAAAACAATTGCGAAAGGATTGTTTGATATCGGATTATTGATGAGCAATGCGTCACAGCTAAAATCCGTCCTAAATTACGGCTCGTCCTGGAACTATTACTACCCGGTTATAGTGATGATATGTGCATCATTATTCCTGCAATTCTTGGTCGGGATAATGTTACTAGTTCTTGGACGAATGGTTTTTGAAACTGACGAAGGGAAAAGGCGTGCCAACAATCTTAATAATGTTACGGTCGGGTTTGTAGGTGTTATAACAGTCTTGAATATTTTCATTGGTTCATTTGGGCTGCAGATGTCAGGAGATCAGTGACCAAGTTTGTAAACATCGAAAATCTTCATAAATTACGTTTATTTTGCCTCCAACTTCAGACATGGAAACAGGCATTTTACCCAGAACTCTATAACTCAGCATTTTTTTTTAAATTCTGATGAATAATGCTGAATCAACTCAAGAGAATAGATGCATCTTTGGTTACAAAGCCATACATCACAATTATATTTCATCTACTAAGAATGTTTGAAGAATGAAAATAATAAGCATGTTAGGAAACATTGTTGAATCACGTGTAACATTCTGATCCACTGCTTTTCTGTTTTAACTGTCTTTTGCTAATGATTTAGCCGAAATACAGAAAGGTGTATTATATATTATTGTATTTCGACAAAATATTTACACAGATCTAAGATAATTGGAACAATAATAATGAAGATACAAGACCAGTATTTACTAGCAAAAACATTATGTACATACTGTATTTATATGATCTCTGAAAGAGACTGAAAACTACATCTTCAAATTAAATTTGAAACAGATATTCAGTTTTCACATTTTTTAAAATCGACTTTGCAATGATACTGTATTACACTTAACTAGAATACCGTATAGATAAATATTTTTAAATGATAAAATTAACCTAATACACTGATTATTTCTGTATGAAACAATAAACCTGAAAAGGATATAAAGTTTTCTCGCGCTGTAGTTCAATAACTCATTATTAACTTAAGATAACATAACATAACTTTTATTCGGCATTGCAATTGTAACAACAAAATTATAGTCGATTTACATCAAATAGTTCAAATGTGAGACACGTGATTTCCTAGAAATGTATGTATATAATTATATATGTATGTCTACAGAGAAGTTCATTACATGACGAATGTAAATCATATTAGAATAAAATATGTATTTGGTAATTATTTGTAGACAACATTGTGCACAATTATCAGAAATGTATTGTCGGGGCGAAAACTCTGCAAGTGTGAATAGGTTATTTTTGTGCGAGTTGTTTCCCTTTCCTTGCAAAAATTCTTATCCCGAACATAAATAATAAATATTGTGATTTGTAGCTATAAACATTACTTTATTTATTACTTTATTAACTTTAAGCCATACATTTATTGATACAATTTATATTATTCATTCTGGAGCATATTACCTTGACGAAAACAGTTCGAAAGTCAAGGTATTTTAAGATATGAAACATTGGTACTATATCTCGAGATAATCTACCAATTTATGTCAACCTTTCGAAGATTTCAAAACTAAAGACTGACAATATAGGTCTATGGTGATTCACCATGTTACTATATATTATCTGCTTATTGCTAATATTACGACTAGCTTGACGCATGATTAAATCTCATACAAAAACAGTGTGCATGTTTAAATAGTACAAATTGCTATAAAGCATGTAACATACAATTACAGTGTACAACATAATACAAATTAAACAAAGCATGTTAGTTTAATATAAAGTTTAAATAATAATTCAATTCTTTAAATGCATAAAATAAAAAGCGTGCTATACCATTGTATTCGTGTTTTACTTATCATGAGATTTTTGTAGTGTTGGCCACCTGCAGTAATATGGTTTTAATGTTTTTACGTAGATCATAGAATTTCGGGCATACTAACATGAGATGGTATTCATCTTCAATTTGATTTATGGAACAATTTTGACATTTTCTATCTTCCCTAGGAGTATTATTATGCCTTCCAGTCTCTATCGCTAAATTATGTGCTGATAATCTAAACCTAATAAGTGATATTCTATGTTATCTAATATACATTTAACCTGGTACGCCCAGTTTTTACCATTGTATGTTACCACATTATCTGTATCTTTTTAAAGTAAATTCTATGTCTTTTTAAAAATGGTATCATCACTAAGTTTCAAGATTTTTATCCAATATCTAATAACTGTAATTTTCCTATGTGTCGCCATCGGATATCGTACATTCCAGCAAGGTTCGTAGACTTTCGAACACATTTACAGTGTACTAACTCAATATTTTTACATTCATTGTATCCAAATATCTCTGCACATTGTTAAGTGTTAACATGCGCCTGTCTACATTGACTTCCTTGTTTCTGCTGCAATATGGCTACTTTAGACGAAGTACGAAATACCTCGCGAAAGAAATCCGGAAGATTTAAGAAACGTAATCATAAGCAGGTAACACCAAGTTAAGAAAATGTGCCGATAGTCGAAAGAAGATCTTATAAAATACAAAATCAGTGAAATTAATGACTTAAAAAAATTATTGTTCTAATATTTTACGCCATATTTGACAAAATGCAACATTCACAACTTCAAATTTATTATGAAAAACCATTATACAGATATCTATATTTATCTATCTTTTTGTAAAAGTCAAATTGCTATTCATTGAAATAAAAGATAACTGAAATAAATATACAAAAACAAATTGGTTTATAATCTCACAACCTCCACCTTTCTGACATTCTGAGACCCAAACAAATTCAGCGCCTTCTGTGCTTTGATTGTATTTACTTTAAGATTACATGTGTTACAGTATGTACCTAGGTCATTTAACATAGATTGTAGTGCACAAATAAAGAAGTGTCATCTGCTAAAAGTAGCAAGGCTAATTTTAAATCAACAAAGTTGAATATTCCTTCAATAATAGCACTGATATTATTAAAAATATCGTTTATGAAAAATAAGAATATCAAAATTATTATGCATTGTTTTTCCTTCAGATGCTTTGTAATTAACAACTTTTGTAATTATATTAATGCACTACTGGATTATGTTATGTACATGTATATGGATTAAGTATAGGTTAAAGTTTTTTAAATTGGTCAGTCGCGACGCAGACGCGCGACCAATTTAATTTTGTAAATACGTACTAATAAATTTTAACCTGCTGAGTGTTTTAAATTATTATTTTAACTAGTCGATTTAATAGATTGATTCACAATTTGCCGATTTGCCGAAGATTCATTTGAAATACTGCAATCCTATTAGACAAACATAATTTCAAACACTAATATTCATTAGTAAGCCATTATAAAATAAATCGCCCAAGAGTGGCATAGCCAATGTAATTTTGTAAATACTTACTAATGAATACTAACCAATTTAATGTTTGAAATTATTTTTCACTGTCACTGCCTCATGGCTTTTGACAAAACGGCTTACAACAAGTGTGTAGGAAAAACCATGTCGGCCCTGAAATCCACATTCAACCCACGTGACTTTTGGATATCATAGTAACTAATTTTCTCTCATTTTAGGTATGTTTTTAAGTTTGCTTTTACTTGATAAATATTTTGGAGATATAGCGCAGGATACCCGCATTTCTGAATTGTATATACACGGCTGATGTCAATTTATGAAGGAACCTTACTATTTTCTCTAAACAATGATGCTTGCAGTATTATAAATCCGTTATAAATATAGTATTTCTGACAGGTTATATGACCGTATATAAGCGGTTGTATATATATAAATATGATTAATTATCTCGTGCGCACGACAAAGTATCTCGTTCCCACGACTGAATTATACGACATAGTATCTCGTGGCCACGACATAGTATCTCGTGGCTACGACATAGTAGCTCGTGGCTACGACATAGTATCTCGTGCGCACCACTCTAAAATCTTTTTAAATCACTTTGCTACTCAGATTTATACGGTGGCACAAAGGTGACATGTGTGTGTTTTTATTTATCTCGTGGCCACGAGATACTATGTCGTGGCCACGAGTTACTAAGTCGTGGCCACGAGATAGCTAAGTCGTGGCCACGAGATACTATGTCGTGGCCACGAGTTACTAAGTCGTGGCCACGAGATAGCTAAGTCGTGGCCACGAGATACTATGTCGTGGCCACGAGTTACTAAGTCGTGGCCACGAGATAGCTAAGTCGTGGCCACGAGATACTATGTCGTGGCCACGAGTTACTAAGTCGTGGCCACGAGATAGCTAAGTCGTGGCCACGAGTTACTATGTCGTGGCCACGAGTTACTAAGTCGTGGCCACGAGATAGCTAAGTCGTGGCCACGAGATACTATGTCGTGGCCACGAGATACTATGTCGTGGCCACGAGTTACTAAGTCGTGGCCACGAGATAGCTAAGTCGTGGCCACGAGATAAATAACCAATCAGATTACACCATTTATATGAATTTCCCTAATTAACTAGACATGTTCTATAATACAAGGATGTACCTACTTCACCAGCCGGTAAAAGTGCCTTTTTATACAACTTATTGACTGGTCAATAATTTTACATTTAGCGTCACTATAACCCTGATTTTTGACCCAATGACCTCGAAATTATTAGATGCCATCTACTGATCAGGTGCAATGATCTTCCTGGGTTATAGAAACCATGGTTTATCCCTTCTAGACAAGGATTTACCTTATAGGCTATCTACTGTCAATGGGCAATGTCCCTTCCAAATTAAATAAACAAGGACTTATTCCATCTCATGTTATCGTATTAGCAAGGTTATCAGGCCTTAGTACGTACAAACTGACCAATTCGATCACAAAATTGTCCCAACAAAGAGCTATAGTCAAAAATAGTCAAAAAAATGTCTGATGGGTTTTGGAAGGTGACTTTCTAATATGATCCTAAAGACAAATTCAAAGTAAATATCTTCATTATTTTCAAAGATTAATGTTGCATGTAAAAGTGAGTTATAAAGTTTGAAAAATTCATAATATATATATATATATATATATATATATATATATATATATATATATATATATATATATATATAGTGTATTCTGATTGGTTAATTATCTCGTGGCCACGACTTAGCTATCTCGTGGCCACGACTTAGTAACTCGTGGCCACGAGATACTATAATATATATATAGTGTATTCTGATTGGTTAATTATCTCGTGGCCACGACTTAGCTATCTCGTGGCAACGACTTAGTAACTCGTGGCCACGACATAGTATCTCGTGGCCACGACATAGTATTTCGTGGCCACGAGATAGCTAAGTCGTGGCCACGAAATACTATGTCGTGGCCACGACTTAGCTATCTCGTGCCACGACTTAGTAACTCCTAGCCACGACATAGTATCTTGTGGCCACGACATAGTATCTCGTGGCCTCGACATAGTATCTCGTAGCCACGA